ATTCAAAATGGAGAAAACTCTCCTTAATGGCCCCATTGTAATAGTACCTGAGTGTGAAGGACATCTGTTCTTTTTTTGAAATATCCTTTGTTTCATCTGCCATGACGCTAAAAACCTAACTTTTCTTCACTTCTTCTATGATTTCAGACCGAACCATTTCTGCCAAACAACCCAAAACCTCATTCTGGATGATCTTGCTTGTGTACTTTGCATTGTGAATGGAAGTTAATCTTCTCTTAACAAGTTGGATGTGGTTAGCAACTGTGTTAAGAATTTCCCTAAAGTTTCCTTTGTTAGTGGACCCTTCAGATTCATCATGTCCTCTTTGTGCTATTGTAGTGTATTAAAATTATGTCTTTGTTAAATGTTTTGCATGAAGAAATGGAAGGTTGATTATTGCTATCCAGAGGGAAGGTTTTAGCGTGACGTCACCTATGACAGACAGGAAGGGGGTGGTAAGATACGGGGATTGACCAGTAGAGGGAGCCAGTCAACTCTTGGGCTATATAAAGGGGGGAGCACTGACGAAGAGTTAGAATGCAGCATGATTTATTTGGGCTCTGATTCTCCGGATATTGTGTCCGTACTTACGCTGGAACCTCGTGGTTTGAATAAAGGCCTTTGAACCCGATCCAACCTAAGCAGACTTCTTGATTGACGACAACACCTTCCAATAACCATACACTACACTATGTTTTGTGTAGCTGTAAGCAACAGCACTTCCCCAACTGTTTTAATGTATGCCTGATTTTCTTGTACTTGTTTAGTGTGTTCTTTGTCAAGGAGATCTGTTAGTGTTGCGTCAGTTCTAACAGCTCTTTGATAATCCCTCCATGCGATCATTGCACACTTGTGTCGTTCAGACTTTGCATGTAGTGAAAACCCTGCATTTCTCATAGTTGCCTTTTTCCAGTTTGTAAAACCAGGTGTTGAAACAAAAACGGTGTCTGGGGCATTTGGTGTGCTAAAATGTCTACATGCATAGCAACATGTAGAGTCCGTCATTACAGAATACTCAAGCCATGGATGAGTAGTGTACCAGTTTGGTCTGAAGCTTCGTCTTCTGTCCCCCATCAGTGTGGTTGGGAATATCTTCAAGTTCGGCTGTACTGGTACGTCATACTTAGACTTGCTGATATCTGAAGAAGATGGACAGTAAACATAGGGCACAACTACAACATTTATTTACTGTATATCTGCATGTATTTCAAAATGTAGGCAAAGTATTTACTTTAAAAAAAAAAAACTGAGCCATATTGACACAAAAAAGAATTAACAGCAGAAAGCAGCATTTTAAGGACACCCAGCAGGCCTACCATTACATTGTAATTGCATTGCTTTGCAAATAGTAAGAACCTTCCTCATCACAAACCTGATGGTGCAGTACTTGATCCACATGGATCCACTTGCTGTCCCTCTGGCTGTTCATCTCTCTGTCCCTGTATGCTTTCTTCTTCATGCTTCTCACCCTCTTCTTCATTCTCCTCGCCCTCTTCTTCATTCTCCTCACCCTCTTCTTCATCCTCCTCACCCTCTTCTTCATCCTCCTCACCCTCTGGAATTTCCCTCTCTTTGTCAGACCCCTCACTTTCATCACATGCTGGCTCTCCCTCTTCCTCAACTTTCTCAAAACCTCGATTTGTTTCTCTCACTTTTTTGTTTGCTGGGGCAAAAAATGACTTTATGTCCCTTCCTCGTTTCATGATAACTATTAGAAGAAGAAAAAACGTAGGGGCATGCATTACATTTTGTTACCTAACCATCCCTCCCTACTTAACACTGGCAGATAACCTGTTGATTACTTTACTAAAAATGTATTTGTTATCGCGATGCAACAGCCAAGACGGATGAAGTTACGTGGTTAACATCACAACATTGTGTAGACCTAGCAAGGATAGCCTACTAACATTTGGATATTTGCTTCTGCTCCGATGAGTTTGCTTAGATATGATTACATTTCTAAACAAATCGAGACCAGATATTTAAAAACTTGATTTGATTTATGTGTGAGGAACAAAAGGAACATGTAGGCTATGTGCAAGAACAACAAGTCACTTATGATATTAAATATTTTCTTACCTTCGACTCCTGCAAATCGTAGCTCCTCTCGCAAATAGTAGTTGCTGAGCTCTCATTCACCGAAGCAGCACCACACGTGGCAGGCAGGCAGATGGCAGGATACAGTTTTTGGGTGCGCCACTCTAATTTACCCGTGTAGAACGTTGCCGTGTAGAGCGTTGCATTAGTTCCGCTTTTGGCGCTCGCGTGTAAAATAGTTATAAATTCATAATTTTTTATTTGGTCAGCACGGGGGGGCCACAGGGGTGGCCAGGGACATTTTCAGGGAGGCACGGGCCTCCCCCGGCCTCCGTGTAAAACCGCCACTGGTTATAGATAAATATATGTCAGCAATGGGGAGTTACTGCTCCCTACAAGAGCACAAAACGTGTAGGCTACAATTAAAGTTGTCTTTGAAACGCCAGTCAGGTAAAAAGCTTATGTCTTAATTAAAGGGGCAGTGTATTTTGAGACAGGCTAGAATACGCAAAAAAGCCAATATGCAGAGAAGCCTACATTGTCTAATTTTCTGTATGGTAATAATAATAAATTGCATTTTGTAAAGTGGTTTCTTGCATCATACAACATAATACAATGCAGTTTAAAGCCACCTATTTGGCCCCACGTAAAAAATCATAAATTCATGTCAAGCCGTTCAAAATGTAAAAATGTTTTAAAAAGTTGAATGCAATGGAGGCCTGCATTGAACACCTCATACAGGTTACACTAGGCTATATCATAGAAATCAACATCTATTTCCATGTGAAAATGTTATGGGATTTGCTTCATTGGTTTTGTTGGTAGGCCTACATTATGGTCAAAAAGCCCATGTGTGTGTGCGTGTGTGTGTTTGCGCTCTCTGTGTGTATATGTGTGTTATGTGTGTGTGTTTGCACTCTGTGCTGTGTGTGTGTGATCCTTCTGACTCTTAAAGAATGTGTTCTCCCTTTCTCTTGCTCCAGAATGCATAATGGAGGAGAGGTGCCAAGGCTTTGGGATGTCTTGACATGAGAGAGGCCTTGGATTGAAGCAGCTCAAACAGGCTCCAAGTCAGGCACCAAGATGCCCCAAACAGTCCCCTTTTACAGTTCATTAAGGACGCAACACTTTATTATATACAGTACTTAAAACATGCAAGGATAAATGAATGGAGACTTTCTTTGCAACATGGATGCTGTTATCTCTGAGACAGACATACAGTCTCATCTAAAAATGTCTTTATCATAGCATATTAGGATGCAACTTATAAGCACTTAGTATTAGCCATATACAGAATCCCACTTTTTGACCAACTTTGGACAAACAATGTTCCAATGACTTCGGACATTAATTAATTCATGTTCAATCATGATTTATAAAGGAAATAAGTACAGTATTTAAAAAGAGAGATGGCCCATTAATGTAAAGTGTAACCAAGATAATGACACCAAGATAATGTTATGGAAATTATATCCCCAGAATCACACCAAGAGCCATCATAAGACCAAAGCAATATGAACCACATATATAGTGGTAATGCAATAATAATGTATATAGTGGTATTGTAATAGTATATAGTGGTAATGTAATAATATATAGTGGTAATGTAATAACACATAGTGGTAATGTAATAATATATAGTGGTAATGTAATAATATATAGTAGTAATGTAATATTATATAGTGGTAATGTAATAATACATAGTGGTAATGAAATAACACATAGTGGCAATGTAATAATTTATAGTAGTAATGTAATAATATATAGTGGTAATGTAATAATATATAAAGGTAATGTCATAATATATAGTGGTAATGTCATAATACCGTGGTATTGCCATTCTGCCCTTCAGCAGTATACCCCCCAACAGAAAACCTGCTCCCCGGGCACTGATGACATGGACGTCAATTAAGGCAGCCCCCTGCACCTCTCTGATTCAGAGGGGTTGGGTTAAATGTGGAAAACACATTTTGGGTGAATGCATTCAGTTGTGCAGCTGACTAGGTATCCCCTTTCCTTTCCCAGATTCCCCAGTGTTTGGCTGTGGAGGAGCAACACAATCCCTCTGACCCTCTAAGCATAACATAACCCAACTGATCCCCTGGTCACATGCCCTGGGAGGTGGCAGCCAAGGTCTTGGAGAAAGAAGCCTTGGGATTGGAGGTGTTCGAACAGGCTCCAAGCCTAGAACATTCCCCTTTTTTACGGTTCCAGGTTCCTGACCTTCTCTGCTTCAAGTGTAATACACAGTACAAACTACAGAGAAATGAATATAAACATAGAGGAATTATTTGAGAAAACAAGTCAGGAAATAATGAATGATGAGAAAATGTTATGGGCATACAATAAAGAGAATATGGGAGAATGTCAAGATGCAGTCAGTGTAGGTCACTGTAGGACATATCTCCATCACTAACACAACCATCTAGGTATCGCATGGTACAATTGGGGAAACCAAAACTCTTTTAAAATTGTTATTATTAGTCCCTACCATGGAAAAACTTTGAGGGATGAGAACCTGGACCAGAAATAGAAACTATTATTCATAGTTTACTGTGAGGTCTGACCTGTCTGACTTCAGGAGTATATCTATACATAGCAGCTTGGTTGGTTGAGTGGATTTATAAAAGGGTCTGTCAAACAGGAGTCAGAAGGGAAAGGAAGGAGATACCTGACCCTGTAGAGAGTGGGGAAGAGAAAACTGCACTAAGATCACACACAGTCAATAGGACAGCTACAGCTGAGAGCCACAACATATGCTGGGACACGGATACCACTGTATGATTTTCTCTTGTATTTATCCACAAAAACCTGTGTCAGGTAAGTGACTTGAGGCTTTTTTAGTGTGGCAACACATTTGTGTAGTGTTTTTTATTTTATTTGTTTGATTTAATAGTAAGCTGTGTTTGTAGGGAGACACTGTTGGACATTTGTAGAGATAAAGACTGTTGTTGTTGGAAGCGATGGCTTTATCTGGACCATGCTTCCAGAGGGGTTTGGAAGCTCTACGGAGACAAGATGAAGCATTTAGAGGGGATAAACACAATATAGATGGAGCGGGAGAAGAGTGTTCAGGGGATGTGAAAGAAAAGGATTGTGGGGGTAAGGTGAACACAGAAGAAGAAGAGAAAGATAATGAAGCATTTAGAAGGGAGGGAAACAGCAAGATAGATCTAGAGAGAGAGACAACTGAAGAAGAGGAGGATGACGTTCAAGAAGTGAAAGAACTAAAAGAAGAGTGGACAGTTGTTAGAGGGCAGAAAGGTGGAATAGAGGATGTGGATTCAATAAGGGTATACGGCAGAGATTCCTATACAAGAGAAATGTTCCAAACCCTGCAGCAGCTCAGGGACTCCTCTCTCCTCACTGACCTGACTCTGAGCACTGAGGATGGGCAGCGTCACCACGCGCACTCCCCTGTCCTGGCTGCTGTCAGCTCCCTCGTACACCAGAGACTGCAGGAGAGGGATGAGGAGATGGAGAAGAGGAGGGAGAGGAGAGATATTGACATGTATATACAGACAGCGATATCCATCAGTCTGGGTCTTGGAGTGGGGTGTGTGGGGCTGGCAGGGGTGCTGGAGTTTGCCTACACTGGGACCATAGCAGCTCTGAACAGAGAAACACTGGCCCAGATACAGACTGCAGCTAAAACACTAGGGGTCCCCAGAGTTCTAGAACTCTGCAGTGAAGAGGAGGAGAAGATGAAGAGGGGAGAGAAGAAGAGGGCAGACGAAAAGAAGAGATCTGCTGAAGAACAGATGAAGGTCAGTCTTCAGTCCATCAGACAGTTGTGGGCAGAGAGAGTGGGCTGTGATGTGGAGCTGGAGGTTGGTGGGACATCATTTCATGGTGAGTAGACTGAAGTAAAAATACATCACAACTATGTACTGTTGAATGATAGTGGAGACAATTTAGTCATGGGGGCTCGTCCAGGATCAAGCTAAATAACCCATACATGCTTATGATGGTAATAATATTGATTTTGAGCATGTGATGTTAAATGTGATGTTAAAGGTCCAATGCAGCATGTTTTCTTTTATCTTAATATCAAATCATTTCTGGGTAACAATTAAGAACCTAACTGTATTTGGTTTAAATTAAAATGGTCAACAAGAAACAAAAATATATTATCTTAGCAAAGAAAAATTTCTCAAGCAAGAATTTAGCTGGACTATTTGGAGTGGTCTGAGTGGGGAGGGGAAAACAGAAAATTAGCTGTTATTGACAGAGAGCTTTGAACTAACTTTCGTATTGGTGTATTAACTAATTTACAACCAGGTGATGTCACCAGGCAGGACAAAACCCCATCACACCAAAACAGACAGAAATTTCAGGTGGTCTTTTCAAACAGCTCTTACACTAAAATGGCATTATCATAATTTTCACAATTTCACAGTATTAATCGAACCTCATAGTGTAGAATTACACACTGAGTGTACAAAATGTTAGTAACTCTTTCCATGACATAGACTGACCAGGTGAATCCAGATGAAAGCTATGATCCCTTATTGATGGCACTTGTTAAATCCCCTTCAAATAGTGTAGATGAAGGGGAGGAGACAGGTTAAAGAAGGATTTTGGCACAATTGAGACATGGATTGTGCCAATCAGAGGGTGAATGGGCAAGACAAAAGATTTAAGTGCCTTTAAACGGGGTATGGTAGTAAGTAGGTGCAAGGCGCACCGGTTAGATTGTGTCAAGAATTGCCACACTACTGGGTTTTTCATGCACAACAGTTTCCCGTGTGTATCAAAAATGGTCCACCACCCAAAGGACATCCAGCCAACTTGACACAACTGTGGGAAGCATTGGAGTCAACATGGGCCAACATCCCTGTGGAACGCTTTCGACACCTTGTAGAGGCTGTTCTGAGGACAACTCAATATTAGGAAGGTGTTCCTAATGTTTTATACACTCAGTGTGTATAAAACACTAGAAAATCACGTTTTTGACTGCACTGGGCCTTTAAATGCAGTGTTTTCCCTAAGCACCGGCTGTCGACTAATCAGCCAATAACAGATTCATTGTCAGCCGGTTTCATTTTCCACTTCATTAACAAGGCTTCGTTTCATTTAAAGTTTCAATTCGCTAGTCAGAAAAGTCTGTATATAGAGTACCACAGTATGAGTCATAATACCCATACAACCTAACAGTCAAACAGGGAAATTGTTTTTTTCTTAGGCTTTTGCCAAAATAAACTAGATTTAGTTGTTGCCCCAATAAAAGTAATTTTAAGGGCAGACTAGACTTGTTTTTCTGACTAGATTACTAATCTACCGCCTTCCCTCAGTCCCACCCACAGTGATTGATTGACAGGCCGAACTGTTAAAGGGATAGTTCACTCAAATTACAAAATTACACAATGGTTGTCTTACCCTAAGTATCCACAGCAGCAGAGCCAATAAAATACATAATTTGAAGAACAAAAATAATTGTGGCAATTCATATCTTGCAGTAAATATGACTTAAATCTCAATAGAAGAAAGGTTTAATGTAAAAAAGGTTATCTTACTTAGAAAGTAGGCCTGATCATATAGGTCTAGGCTATGATGTTATCCAAAACAATTAACAACACACTGAAGTCATATATTTTCAGTAAAATTTTATTGCAAAGTCATTTTAAAGCCATCATTGTAAAGTCATTCAATCATTTAGCTGTGTAGTTTGAATGGAATCAAGGCATTAGAATGTACCAGAGGCCACCAAAATAGAGCTTGTGCTGCAAAATAAAATCACCCCAGGACCACAATCCCCCCCCCCCCCCCAGCCTGGAACTCATTGGCTGGCTTTTCTTTTTGGCTGGCTACTCCATGTACTTACAGAAAACACTGTAAAAAAGAATAATAGGATGATATATATTAATATTATTAGTATATTAATATATAATAACAAAATAATAATATTAAATATGAATTGTATATTTTTTTGTTAATTGTTGGGGACTCATCTGGGATCAAAACAAATTGTAATATTATGCCTTTTGTCTTACATCTGAATTCATAAGAGTCATGATAAACCAAATGTGGAAGTAGTCTATTTATGAGATAACAACAATAATCAATTTCGTCTTCTCTCTCCTGACTCAAGTCCACAGAGTGCTCCTGTCTGCCAGTAGTGACTACTTCCGGGGAATGTTCACCAGCGGGATGAAGGAATCCCAGCAGCCCTGTGTGGCCCTTCCCTTCCTGGAGGCCTCTGAGCTGGAGGCCCTGATTGACTGCTCTTACAGCGGGTCCCTCCCCCTCTGCTGGGGACGTGTCTTTGAGATCACATGCATTGCCTTCCAGCTCCAGTTCCAGCCCGCCCTCTTGCTGTGCCTTGACTTCCTGGAACAGGAAATGGACGCCCACTCCTGCCTGGACGTGGCATCTTTCGCTGAGGCTTATGGGATAACGGAACTCCTCGAAGTGGCCAACGACTTTGTCCTGAGACACTTCCAAAATGTGGCAGCCACCCCTAAATTCCAAGACCTGCCAGTTAAGAAGCTTAGAAAATACCTGAAAAGCAACTCCCTCTTTGTACCCTCAGAGCTTGTGGTCTTCAAGGCAGTAGTGGTCTGGATCGAGGCCTGTCCCAGTCAAAGGCTTAAATTCACCAAAGAGCTGGTGAAGAACATCCACTTTCCCCTCATGACCTTCACGGAGTTCAGTGAAGTTAAAACCGCAAAACTGTGGACTGAATGCAACATGAAACATCTCTACATGACTATACTGGAGGACTTTCGCTCCTATCACGTTACACCTTGGAGCCTGTGCAGGGTCTACCAGCCCAAGGACAGTCTAGTCTTGGTGGGTGGAGACCAGATCTCTGCCGACTTTATCCGGCGATCCCCCAGCCGAGAACTGTGGTTCGGAAACTCTCTGAGGAACTACACAGGCATTGTGAAGACAGTTGAGTGGAGGTTGCTGGGAGAGATGCCAAAGCCACCAAGGTTAAGTCACGAGGTGGCTGTGCTCGCAGGGAAGTTGTACGTGCTCGGGGGACAGAATTATAAAGGAATGCTTGCCGTTTTAAACTCAGTCTACAGGTGAGATAAGAACTTTGGGGTTTGTATCTACTAACGAATGAGTCCTTTAGGTATTAATATTTTTACATATTTATGTTTTTACATTATTTTCTTCCTTCATCTCTCATTCTTTATGTTCTTTCAGATATAATCCGCTTCAGGACCGCTGGGAGAGATTGGCCGACTTGCAGGAGAAAAGGTGTAATTTTTCTGTGGTTGTTCTGGACGAGATTATATATGCCATTGGAGGGTACATTGATCCAGAAACTAACCTGGATAGTGTGGAGCGCTACTGTCCAAATACAGATTCTTGGAGGTAAGGTTTTTCTTTGGTAACTCAAAAAGGAATGGTATCACAGAATCGCTTGCGGTAGTTAATTGTTCCATTGGAAATGGTATGTAACTTATTAAGTACAACTTTGTTTCTTTGTTGCTATCTTTACCAAATGTGGCATTCCCTGTTAGCTTTGCCCAACCCTTGGACATGACCTTGAGTTGCCATGCTGCCACATTGTTGGATGGAGAGATCTTCATCTCAGGGGGGTTCGACTGCAGGTACCAGTGTCTGGTGTCCATGTTCCTGTACCATCCTGAGAGAGGAACAACCTACCTGGCAGAGATGAGCCAACCTCGAGCCCATCACTGCATGGAGACTTTAAACAATCATCTTTATGTGGCTGGAGGAGTCACTGTTGATGAAAACATGACGTCTATCGACCAGCTGGCCTGTGAGGTCTACGACCCTGTTAGTGACTCCTGGAGTGCCCTCATGCCCCTGGCCGTCTCCCATGTTAGAGCAGCCTCTGTGGTTCTGGAGGGGAAGATCTATGTGCTGGGAGGATACTGCCAAGAGGACTACAGGGAGACCAGACTGGTGCATCGGTATGATCCCACCAACCAACTTTGGGAGAATATCGGCGAGATACCCGGACCTAACACTGACATAAGAGCCTGTTTGCTCCACCTGCCCAAACACTTGAGACAATGAAAAATCACTATACATCCCATAACACCACACTAAATATTATGCCACTACATGACCTACACCTTACTCCACCCAACTCTTATAAGTTATGAATACTGAGTATACCATCCATCTAGCTAACACCAACCTATATTTTCAGTTTTGCAAATCATTTATTTTGTATATATTTAGCTCACACCATTTCAAATCAATAATAAAATGATATATAAATGTTCTCTACTGTTCAACAGCTAACTGAACCAGCTGGCGGAATTGCTTATTTTCAATAGGTAAATTCAAGGTAGATGTACAAGTTCATGGTGAAAATCAAGCTATTTAGCTAGCCAGCTAGCTACTTTTCGGCATCTGCTTTAGTGTCACATTCAAGGGCTTGGGTAATAAATTAACTGTCATTAGCTAGTTCCAAATGTATAATCAATTGCCATAGCCAACTTATGTAATGTAACATTGATCTTACAAGCATTTATTTCAATGGATGAGGATGTTAATATTGTTTTAACACTGTTTTAACACTTTATGTAGCATGTGCCATACTTTAATCACTATATTCACAAGGACACCAGTTAAGTTAACTTAAACATGTTATTTCTCTCCATGTGCAGGCTATAAGTGAATTATTATAAAAAAACAGGAAGGGCATTACAATTTCAGGGTGGCTTCATGTCCTCTTGGGAAATTAGAAACTGGGAAGTGGGAAGTCATAAGTCTAACATGAATGTGTTCACTTGCCTTTGAAGTCTGAAAAATTATTCAACCAATAAGATTTTAGCTAGCTTATCAACATTGCTAATAATAAAGTTAGCTAGCTTGCTTAACATTGACATATGATCAAACTAGCTACATTTGTCTACATTTCTCCAAAAACGTGTGACTTTTCTGTCCTTGCATTTATGGCAGTGTAAGTTGTCATTACATCATATATCAATAAGACATTTAACTTGAACCCTGTATGAATCCTGGATCTAGCTGTTGGACAGTTTTTTGTATAAAGATATCAGAAATGCAGGGTAACTATGTAACATTTCGTGTCTCCTTATGTAACAGGGTGAAAACAGTTTTCATGGGCACACAAATCCAAAATGATGTAGGCGATTGCAAAATAGAATGCTTCTAACCAAAAGAGTCACCTTACCTTGATACTTAAAACCTAAATCGATACTGTCATTTACATGGTTCTTCAATAATTAAGCATTATACTTGTTGGATGGCATTTAGTGTCCAGCTGATTAGTTACACCGTGATATTTTTACACATCATCATCTGATCCAGGAAGGAATTTTCCGAATGACAGTCAAGTGACCAACAGCTGTTGGGATAGTGCATGTGCAACAACAGCCCAAGTACTGGAAAAAAAGGTGTTTGCCAGAAAAGTCGAGAATATTTTGGTGTCTCATTCGTTATGCTGGTGAAGACAGTTGTGCCTGGATCCACGTTGGATCAAATATCCCTTTGCGAATTGATGTTGATCATCTGTTGTTGTCTGATTGATTTACAGCAAGGTCTCATTAGATTTAACAAACAAAGCATCAAGTTAATGAATTCATGTTTTCATATGTTTTTGTGCCTCGGATTGGACACCTAGTCTGTTGTGCGCAATTGTATAGGATAGACTTTTGCTAAACACCCAAAGCTCTTCCTAATAAAGCTGCAATATGTACCTTTTTGAGCGACCCGATGAAATTCACATAGAAATGGGAGTTATAGATCTGTCATTCTCATTGAAAGCAAGTCTAAGAAAAAAGTATGAGAAAATTTATGAACTCACTACTGTAAGTCACTCTGTATAAGAGCCTCTTCTAAATTACTAAAATGTCAATGTAAATGTAAGAAGCGGTAGATCTGTTGTATGTGTGTTATTTCGTTTTTACATATTTTACTTTGTTTTGTACACCAGCTTCAAACAGGGTTATGGAAAATGTATTTCACAGCGGATTAGATGGTACAATTATTCTCTACACTATACTTGCTTGTTTTGTCACATAAACTGAAATTAGGCAAACTATTAGCATTTTTGCAACCAGGAAATGGTGGAGAGATTTCTGCATGGTGCATCTTTATTCTAGATATAATGACAACAAATTATACTGAACCAAAATATTAACTCATCATGCAACAATTTCAAAGATTTTACTGAGCTACAAGTTCATATAAGGAAATCAGTCAATTGAAATAAAATATTTAGAACCTAATCTATGGATTTCACATGACTGGGCAGGTGTGCAGCCATGGGTGGGTCTTGGAGGGCATATGCCCACCCACTTGGCAGCCAGGCCCACCCACTGGGGAGCCAGGCCCAGCCAATCAGAATTAGCTTTCCCCCACAAAATGGCTTTATTACAGACAGAAATACTCCTCAGCGCAGCTTTTGGCTGTACTCAATCTCTGACACTAGCACCTCTCAGTCTCACAAAAAAATCATAGATCTTTTGAGTTGCGCCACTGTGTTTCATGGTACGGTGTTGTATGTTCTCATGGGCTTTAACGGGATGATTTTTTACCATACATGGTTAATTAGGGGTGTTTCGAAATGCAAATAGCCAAAGTCTTGCACGAGCACTGAGGCTGAAAACAATTGGTATTTATCATCAGTGGAGGCTGCTGAGGGGAGGACGGCTCATTATAATGGCTGGAACAGAGTATTTGATACCTTTCCACTGATTCCGCTCCAGTCATTACCACAAGCCTGTTGTAGTATCTTAAGGGTCTAGAAACGCTGACCGTTGCAAGAAGTAGGAAACTTGGCCCTAAGATTCTGCTGATGTGGCAAAATGGTGTACTCTACTTTGCTGAAAACATCTGGAAAGCATTACTAATGTTCATGGAAAGATGATATGGGGAGAGACGTGAAAAAGACTAGGGATTGGTGTGTTGGAATCACGTCATGCTCTGTCATGTATGATATAAATGCCATGTCTTGGACAATAGGGGGAGAGAATAGCTAATCAGATTGGGTCGGGCTGTTCTCTAGATATCGGCAGGTATCTGTAAATTGGACACTGTAAACTCTTTGTTATAATAAACCTTTATAATCAAAGTACAGTGTCGGCGGATCTTCTTTTCACTACGGCATTACCAGCAAAAAGCTCGGTCTTGTTTACCACACTGTCCTCCCCAATTAAGGTGCCACCCACCTGTTGTGTTATCAATGGTTATCTCTTACAGGTGTGAGTATGATGCTCTTACGATTGTTTGATAAATCACACTTTTTCTATGTGTACAAACATTCTAAATTCAGTTCGTAAGTAGTATTTTAGAATAGTTTCTACGCAATATTGATAAATGAGGCCCCTGGTGTAGTTATCTCAAGTACCCAAAAAGACCACTAAATGTCATACAATCAGATAGGAATACAAATACTAGATAGTACAATACATATAGATGTATTTCTAATAGAACAAAAGCCATGTAAAAAATTATCAAAGGAAGTGTTAGTATAAGGAACCCATACTCTCAAAGAGAGCAATACAGCCGAGAAGCAGGAAAGAAAGAAAACACACACAGAACACTATAAACATACAGAACCAGGAGAAATCTAGAAAACAACTAGATAAAGGTTCAAGGGGAACTGCAACATCTGATTTGGCCTTGTTTTTTGTCTTGCTCCTTAAGAAATGCTGACGGCCATGACAGGTGCCAAATGTGAGTTGGCTTGGGGGTGTGGTTTGATGTGGGTGTTTCTTGTGTGTGTCCTGGCCACCACAAAGACACAGCCGTATGTCATAATCTTGCCCGCAGCAGTTTCCTCCCACTCAATGACAACAAACAAACCACCTGCAGGTTGAGTTCAATAACTACAGGCAGATGTGTGGTGAGATGCTGGAGGAAGCTTTGAGTAGGTCAGCAGCCCACAGAGTAATATGAGCTGAATGCAATTGCTGAATTTATGTAGATATTCTAAACTAATTGTTTTAATAACTTTCAAATGTAGTAACAGGTCAATGTAGAATAATCAACCCTTTACATAATACCATAGAAGCAGTGTTCTGCTAATATAACACTGTGCACCTTTCATTGTAATTTCCAGCCGATACAGATCAGATTAGAGACATCAGTATCAAGCCCGTCTGTCAGTCTGGACTTCATCACATCATCTTACATGTCTCCATGTGCTGGCTCCATACATGTTTCTGTGAACACATACACACATAGTCACTGTTCTATTACCAATGACAGTTAGGATAGGTAATATCTGACACACAAACAGGTACTATGCTGAAGTTTAAACAGGTCAGATAAAACCTACCAAATTATTGTATCCCCATCAAACGACCGAGGCTGGCGTCTGGCAAAAGCATCTACAGTCCTCTCCATCTGTAGAACAGGTTTCCCGAGTGGCGCAGTGGTCTATCTCTAACTGCCACTAGAGATCCTGTTTCGAATCCAGGCTCTGTCGTAGCCGGCCGCGACCAGGAGACCCATGAGGCGGCGCACAATTGGCCCAGCGTCGTCCAGGGTAGGAGAGGGAATGGCTGGCAGGGATGTAGCTCAGTTGGTAGAGCATGGTGTTTGCAACGCCAGGGTTGTGGGTTCGATTCCTACGGGGGGGCAGTATGAAAAAATAAAAAAGAATGTATGCACTCAGTAACTGTAAGTCGCTCTGGATAAGAGCGTCTGCTAAATGACTAAAATGTAAATGTAGAAATAGGCAGAGCTGAGGCAGAGTTCATCAGTGACACATGGAATGAAAAGTGTGTTGCAAATACTGGACATTCCTGCTGTACTGTATTATTAGTAATCACCTTCAGCCCCACATTGTGGATGTGTTGAGTGCCAGGTCTCTCTCCATTCAGAGACGTCAGTATCAAGCCTGTCTGTCAGTCAGGACATCACATCATCATGCAAGTCTCCCAGTGCTGGCTCCATAGATGCATCTGTGAACACATTCACCAGTCACTGTTCTATTACCAATGGCAGTTAGGATAGGTAATATCTGACAAACAAACATATACTATATTGAAATTTGAACAGGTCAGACTAAACCTACCATTGGTGAACAGGCAAGAGGTAAGGTCTTTGCCAGCGCCCCATTGATGGGCATGGCAGCGTAGATCAGCTCCTGGCCCCTCATCAAAGATAGTGGTCGGTCACACACAAACAGTGCACTGATTACATTATCAATGGTGGTTATGATTAGCATGGTGGAACCAACCTGATTGATGCATTCACCTTTCGATTTCACTTCAGATATCATTATACAGTATGTGAAGGGAAATAGAATGGTAAATGCAGCAAT